CTGTAAAAGAAACACTGTCTTTCAGAGGGGACTATACTTGCCTGGTGTTAATAAGCTTTAACACTGCTGGGCCTTGCTAAAGATGGGGTCAGAGGAGAAATAACATTGGGGGAGACAAAAAAGGTGGCTGTGCCCGAAGCACTCATGACAACATCTATACAGCAGGAGGGGCATTATCAGACACCGGCAGCTGCTAACTCCTGAGGACAGTCTCTGTACTGCCCCACAGTCAATGAGACTTTAGGGACATTTGGATTTCTGGTACAGTTCATCTAAAAACATCCCAGAATTAAGGGAAAGATAGTTGTGTAGTTTTCTCAGCCTACAAAACAGGACTGAAAGATGACGGTTTTCAGTCACCTGTAGGCTGAGCCTTACATTCCCATGGCCCCTCTATCCCCGCGCTTCACCAGGACAGATCAACTAGCTCATGTGGGCCACTGCATGGGGACCCTTGTCCCCACTCACCATAAGAGCACAGGCTCTTGAAAGACTACCTGAGCTCAACCACTTGTCAACTAGGTGACCTTAGGCAGGTTACTTATGTTTTATGCTAGGAAAATACAAAGGATAAAATGAGAAGAGATTTCTCTGAAGAAACAAAAGAGCGAGGATAGAACTTAAGTAGAACAATAAGAAAATTAATAACAGAGAAGGTGTATCCTGTTTTCCAGCAATTAGTCAAAATAACCCAGAAATTTCACAAGGGCAAATTCTTTTAAATAAACTTCAACTAGGCACATGCAGTGGTTTTTATTAGTAAACTGTGGATGTGCTCTGGTAGCTTCTCTAAGGTATGAAGTGAGANTGCCTGCCACCTCCTGAGCCAGCAGCCTCCCCAGGCACTCTATTTTGGAGGGATTTCCTCTCTAAAATAAAGAGAGGGGAGGTCACCAGACAGGCACTGACATTTATAATGGAAAATGGTCTGATTCTATTTCTAAACTTCACGCTCCAGGTACTTGCTCATTTATAAGGAATAGTACAGTGTCTGTGTCCATTTACTTCTGTTAATGAACTAACTCCTTATCTGGTTGGCCCCAGGTGGACCCATAAAAGTTTAGAAGCAGAAGCAGCCAGTGTTCACAAGACGGCATTTTCCCTTTTTGAGTTTTTGTATTTGTGGTTTTTAATTTTTAATTTTTGGGGGAGCAAAAACTAGCATGTTCTTTTGTAGAAGTTTCTCTAAAAGAGGTAGAAACTATGCAATTGTCATTACTTCAAGCTAATCATCTATTCTAGCCAGGTCAGATGGCTTCACTGCTTTTCTGAATTTGCCACTGATGAGGGCGAGCAGGGTGGTGGGACTGAGAGAAACGGAATATGGGTTATAAGCACATCTTGGGGAAATTTACTTAGACTGGGACTTTTTCCTCCAAGAAACTCTGAAGTCATTCCACTTATGGATGTGCACACTTACCTGAGACAGATGACTTTTTAATTTTCAAGTAAAATTGCACTTGGCCTTCAGGAACCCCCCCACCCCTCGCCACCATATAAACTGCCCACTTTTCCCCAGGAGCCAAATCCTGCTTTAGAGTGTTTCTTGTCCTGACTCCTCTCCCAGAGGCGTGAGTCAGGCCAGCCCCAGGAGGCTGTGTTAGGCAAGCAGGGAGCTGGCGTGACCTCAGGGACAGCCAGATGGCCCCTAGATGTTGGCTTTGCACATCTGCTGGGCTTCACAAAGCAGAAGTCTGAGTTGGAAAGTGAATGAAGCAAGTACTGTGCACAGAGTTTTGGAAAGGAATATCACAGACTCAGCGTTTAAAAAAAGACTGTCATTTATTTAGCAATAAGGAAGGAGGGACCTCCTTAGCCAGAAGTTGGGTGACCACCGTTCCCCAGTTCCTTACCCCATCAAATTGTAGACTTTTTTTTTTTTTACATAAGAGTCAACCAAAGAATTGCTTTGCAGTGAGAGGCAGAGTTGGGGTGAGGGTGATTGCACCTCACGTAGGGGAAAGGTCTCATATCACAGGGGAGGGGAGAGTTGATTTTGTTGTTATATGCTGGCAAATTTTAGAAAGGCTCGTTCAAAAAGTCCTGATAACATCTGAAAGGAGTCAGTTTTTGCCCAGTAAAATATTAAGAACTTTGCTGAGACTAATGTTTGTCCTCTAATCACTGAAGGGGTTGATTTTTTTTTTCATGAAGTCACTTTTGTTTTTACTGCCAACAGCAACAGTGCTTGAGAGCTTACTGCATACTAATTACTGCTTAGGACACTTCACAAGCATTTATCGTATTCATTTTTATAGCAGCCATATACAGTGTAGGTACTGTTATCTTCATTTTACAAATAAAGAAACCAAGATATAGAGAGGTTAAGTACCAAAGTCACACAGCTAGTAAGTGGCCAAGCTTGGCTCTGACCCCGAGAGGTCAGCCTCCACAGCCCACATGTCTAACCACTCTGCTTGGCTGCCCATAAGACTACAGTGCAGGGTTGTTGACTGCAGCCACGCATGAGTGAGGCAGCTGAGCATGACCCCTGGGGAAAAGCAAGGAGTCCTAATTCTTCCAATTCTGTTTTGGTCCACAAAGGGCTCCATAGTTGTGGGAATTGATTACGACTGCCGGGAGAGGATGGTGTACTGGACGGACGTCGCTGGACGGACGATTAGCCGAGCCAGTCTGGAGCTGGGAGCAGAGCCCGAGATAATCATTAACTCAGGTCAGCAGCTTCACCCAAACACACCTCGCATTTCATTTGACTCTAGTAAGTCCAAGTTATTTGCCTGTTTTATGCCAAAGTCTCCCCTCTATTTTCATCCAACAGGGGAGGTTAAGTCCTATGCAAATCACTTTCAGCCTCAATAAACAAACACATTCATACATAAGGTGATTCTTACTGTGAGCCCTTTCTGTTGAGAAATACGGCTCTCAATGGCAAGGGCTCACAGTAAGAATTCAGGACGTGGCCAGTTGACGCTGCCTGGCCCTGGCACTGGCTGGCTGTGCCATCCGTCTGGTAGGTCTGTTAGTCTAGAGGAACTAGAGGTTACAGGAAAAGTTTAAAAGGCTCTGTTCCTCCCTTAACCTGGTTCTTCCAACTTACATACTCTCAGGACGTTTTTTTTAAACTGTTCATAGATCTCTGCTTCAAGTTCACCTTTCATACCTGCAAATGCTCTAGTCCTGCCTTTGTTTAATTTCCAGGTCTGATAAGCCCTGAAGGACTTGCCATTGACCACTTTCGTAGAACGATGTACTGGACTGACAGTGGCCTGGATAAGATAGAGAGGGCCAAGCTGGATGGCTCTGAACGCAGGGTCCTCTTCCACACAGACCTGGTGAACCCCCGAGCTATTGCCGTGGATCCGATCCGAGGGTCAGCTGGCCTTCCCTAACTCTCCATTACCTGTAGATCCTTACTCGAAGCCCTTGGATTGAAATGAAGTGTGGGAAGGGTCAGAATATGAGAAAAAAAGCTCAAATGCATTCATTTCACAGTATTTAAGGATCTACTCATGTCAGGAACTGTTCTGTTATACTTTGGATCAGATGATCAGGCAAGGTACCTTGTGAGGTAACAAACTGGAATAAAGTGGGTCTCCTTGGGCAACACATTAAGAAATTAGTGTTGAAACCATAGTAAGGTTTATGTTCATTAAATGGGTAGAGTAACCAAAACTCACACAGCCAGCGTTTTATTTCTCTGGCCTCACTTTCAATGTAACAAGTCAAGAGTAAAATGTTCCCTGTCCATGATAATTGCTAAGGTCACCAACTGGGACCATAACTTGGTCATTGTTTCAGTATTTGTTAGAACCAGGGAGGATTTCTATAACGTGAGAAACTTCCTGCCATATTTAATGGGGCTCCTCGCAAATGAAATTCCAGAGAAAACCCTTCAATCTGTAAAGAAAACCTTCAGCTTTAAATTTCAGTGATGTGTTTTTGACTCAGGAATACTTAGTGAAAAGCCTCAAAGATGGTCCTGAAATTTGAGTTCTAGACCTTGAGGAAAGTCTCTCT